TTTTATCATTCATTCATTCATTCATTCATTCATTCATTCATTCATTCATTCATTCATTCATTCATTCATTCATTCATTCATTCATTCATTCATTCATTCATTCATTCATTCATTCATTCATTCATTCATTCATTCATTCATTCATTCATTCATTCATTCATTCATTCATTCATTCATTCATTCATTCATTCATTCATTCATTCATTCATTCATTCATTCATTCATTCATTCATTCATTCATTCATTCATTCATTCATTCATTCATTCATTCATTCATTCATTCATTCATTCATTCATTCCTGTAGCTCAAACAGTAGAGCATGGCATAATCAGAACTAAGGTCATGGGTTCAAGTCCCAGGGAAAGTATGAACTCATAAATGTATGTTGAATGCAATGTTAAGTTGCTTTGGATAAATGTATAATGCATACATGTAAATAGTACTGCAAATGAAACTTCAAATTAGTATTAAGAGAAAGACAAAAATTCAGGTTGGTCAGAGCATTTGGCAAATTATCTGGCAAAATAGCAGCTATCATATTTCAAATGTTAGCTTGGCTACCACAATTTGTTTTCCTCCTGGAAATCAAAATTAAAATAAAAAAAATAAAAATGGATACACATGAAACCATTTATTAACTTTAGCATTAAGTAGGTTAATAAGGACTATGTCTTTAACTGTGAAAATAGCATTTAATGTATTTGTTTAATAAAATAACATTAAAAAAAATTTAAACAATTGCCACCTTAATATTTGTATTATTTGGTAAGTTTTGTATAAAATCAATGCGGGACTCAAGGTCATGCTGTATTGTGAATATTGCAACAACTTATAGTTTCATTATTCAGTAAATTTTGTATAAAGTCTATGAAATACTCAAGGCCATGCTGTATCTGTAATATATTAACAACTTGAACTACCGTTCAAAGTAGGGATGCACCGATACCGATACGCCCGATACTGAGCTCCTGTACTCATACTCGTACTCGTTAAAATGCCCCGATACCAAACGCCTATACCACACAGCATGTGATAAGTGCCATATTCAGACAAAGAAACACCCACAACAGAACAACAGACAGCAGAAAGGAGTTAAGGATGTCTACTACGAAGTATATGTATGCAATGAATATAACGTTAAACATTCAGTATTAACGCCTGTATAGCTGGTGTGCGCAAGCTGATAAACAAAGCACGCTGAGTGGATTGAGCGCGCGGCGGCGCAGATGCGCGAGCTTGTCGAGTGAATATATCTTTCTCACAGACATCATTGGAACGTTTGTAGTTCGGTCGGATACGTCAAAAACAAGTAAGTAAAACAATGCACAAGTTACTTAACGGTAGGGAGAGAGAGAGAGAGAGAGAGAGAGCACGCGCGCACTTCTGTTGTTCATATTTTATTACCATTTTCTAAACTATAGCGAATAAACTGTGATAATGTGAGAAATGTTGAAGGTGTCTGAATAAATTTTGGTTTGACTGTATCTATTTGATAAATGAAGTTGTAACAGATCGGCCAGGCTCTACCACCACCCAATCACAACCATCCCTCTCACCTGAGTTCTGAGCACCTGCACCTGTCACCAATCAAGCACCTCATTACCAGCCTGCATAAAAGCACACACCTCACTGTCCGGTCTCGTATACACGTAGAGGACTCAATGAGTTTGCTATTACTTCCCTTTGAATACTTCCCGCATTACTTACCTCCTGTGTTCCTCCTCGTCTCCAAGTGTCTCCTGTTTCTCCTAGTTTCCGGATCGCTGAGGTGTGTTCTCTTCCTGTGTACATTCCAGCCCCTATCAAGCCAAAGACTCGGATTACTCCACCCTCCATATCCTTTGCCCTCTCCTACGAAATCTTCCCTCACCATCACATCCTCCGGACCCGACACCCGTACTCACTGTGACCAAATAAACCATTTTATATATACTAACCTGTTGCGTCAGACCTCTTCCGTTACAGAAGACCGGACCAACACCGACGGCACAGATGAGTCACCCCGATCCATTCCAGGAGCTCGTAGACTCACTACGACGAGTGCTACGCCATCCACCGGCACCGCCGCCATCACCACCCATCACCTCATCCATCCCAACCAGCACTTCTTCGCCTACCATCATCGCTAGTCCCATGGCTCGACCGGCGCCCTACTCTGGTTCGGTGGAGGAGTGCAACGGATTTCTCCTCCAGTGTAATCTCACATTTAAGATGCAACCGCACTCCTATCCCACTGACATCTCAAAAATTGCCTTTATTATCTCCCTGCTAACAGGACCTGCAGTGCAATGGGCGGAAACGATCTGGGATCAGGCCAGCCCCTTCATTCAAAATCTGCAGAACTTCCTGGTGCATTTTCGCGAGGTGTTTGGAAGGACAGACAGAGATACCGCTGTGGGAGAGCAACTCTATCACTTACAACAGGGTACCATGTCAATTGGAGGAGTGCAACGGATTTCTCCTCCAGTGTAATCTCACATTTGAAATGCAACCGCACTCATATCCCACTGACACCTCAAAAATTGCCTTTATTATCTCCCTGCTAACAGGACCTGCATTGCAATGGGCGGAAACGATCTGGGCTCAGGCCAGCCCCGTCATTCAAAATCTGCAGAACTTCATGGTGCATTTTCGCGAGGTGTTTGGAAGGACAGACGGAGATACCGCTGTGGGAGAGCAACTCTATCATTTACAACAGGGTACCATGTCAATTGCCGAATACTCGCTGAAGTTCAGAACTCTCGCTGCGGCAAGTGGATGGAATGAGAGATCGCTGCTGACGACCTACAGACAGGGACTGGAGCCCCAGCTTCGGTTACAGCTCGCTACATATGATGATTCATTTGGATTGGACAAATTCATGCAGCTATCCATCCGATGCTCGAGCCGCATGCAGTCCTGTCTAGCAGCAATACCAGTCCACGCCATAACCTCCTGCCTCCGCCGACTAGAGCCCAGTTACTCTCCAGAACCAGCACCAGAACCCATGATCGTGGGCTTTAACTAATACAAATAAACGAGTGGTAACTCAGCTAATCTAATAGGGAAACGTACAAACAACACATGCAATATACCAGCTATATTTGTAACTGCTCAATTATTGTCTAAATAGAATAAAGGTCTTTACGTGTGTGTGTTTGTGTGTGTGTGTGTGTCTCTGACATTTCCACAAACGCTCGTACTATCAGAACAGAGCAGCTTTATTGCCTGTGAGTGATGCAGGGATACGGGACACAAAGCGACCACGAGAGCTTCACCCGGATCGCGGCACAGACCCTCTTATCGACTCCGGGTCAGCAGGAAACTTCATCTCCCGGGACCTCGGCCGCCAGCTCAAATTACAAGCTACCGCCTCTGAAACAGTTTACCAAGTCCAGTCGATAACTGGAACACCACTATGCCGTAGACATGTCCGCTATCGCGTGGGACCCATCACTCTTCGACTGGGCCTACTTCATTCTGAGGACATTCATCTTCTGGTTCTGGAGGGGTCTACTGCTGACATCATCTTAGGGCGCCCGTGGTTGGTAAAGCACAATCCCATTCTGTCCTGGAAGACGGGAGAAGTCCTGAAGTGGGGCAAGGATTGCTTCCCAGACTGCTTCCCCGGGACTCCATCTCCCTCTAAGAAACTCCCAGAGGCCCTTTCCGTGAATTCCGCCTCCATTGAGAGTCCCATCGAGAAGCAATCCTTAGACATTCCAGGCTGCTATGCCCCCTTCAGAGATGTGTTTTGCCCCAAACAAGCCTCCCGCTTACCACCACATCGGCCATGGGACTGCGCCATAAATCTCATTCCGGGTGAGCCAGTGCCTCGGGGAAAAGTCTATTCACTGTCGCTTCCTGAACAGAAGGCCATGGAGGACGACATCAAGGAGGCGCTGGGTCAAGGTTACATCCGTCCATCTAACTCCCCTGCTGCATCAAAGCTTCTTCTTTGTGGCCAAGAAGGACGGAGGCTTGAGGCCCTGTATGGATTACCGAGCGTTGAACAACATCACAGTCAAGTTCCGATATCCTCTTCCCCTCGTCCCAAATGCCCTTGAACATCTCCGTGGGGCCACCATCTTCACCAAGTTGGACCTCCGCAGTGCCTACAACCTCATCCGGATACGTGAGGGGGATGAATGGAAGACTGCCTTTGTGACCCCTACTGGCCACTACGAGTATCTGGTCATGCCCTATGGACTTGCCAACGCCCCCTCCGTATTCCAGGACTTCATGCATGAGGTGCTCCGGGAGTTTCTCCATCGGTTCGTCATTGTATACATGGATGACATCCTCATCTACTCCCGGAGCCAGGCCGAACATCGTCAGCACGTTGCGGAGGTCCTCCAACGCCTGAGAGAGCACCACCTATTCCTCAAGGCTGAAAAGTGCACCTTCCACCAACCCACGGTGCAATTCCTGGGGTATAACATTGATCATACCGGTATCCAGATGGACGAGGGGAAGGTGGAAGCTATAACCTCCTGGCCAGAACCCACTACGATTAAGGAGCTCCAACGATTCCTCGGATTTGCCAACTTTTACCGTCGCTTCATTCTAGACTATAGCAAGATCACCAGCCCACTCACAAGCTTACTACGAGGGAAACCCAAATCTCTGTCTTGGACACCGGCGGCCTTAGAAGCTTTCTCCTCCCTCAAGAGAGCCTTCACTAGCGCCCCACTCCTAGTCCATCCAGATCCCGACCTCCCATTCGTCGTGGAAGTTGACGCCTCCACTACAGGAGTGGGGGCAGTGTTGTCCCAGCAGCAGGGGAACCCAGCCAGACTCCACCCATGTGCCTTCTTCTCACGGAAGCTCAGCCCGGCGGAAAATAATTGACATCGGCAACAGAGAACTCCATGCCATCAAGCTGGCCCTAGAGGAGTGGAGGCATTGGCTGGAAGGGGCAGCCCATCCATTCACAAGGTCACCTTCCACCAACCCACGGTGCAATTCCTGGGGTATAACATTGATCGTACTGAGAACTACTAACAGAGAACTACTTGCCATCAAGCTTGCCTTAGAGGAGTGGAGGCATTGGCTGGAGGGGGCAGCCCATCCATTCACCGTACTGACCGACCATAAAAACCTCCAATACCTTCGTGAGGCTAAACGTCTAAATCCCCGCCAGGCACGATGGGCATTATTCTTTACCAGGTTCAATTTTACCATTACTTATCGCCCTGGTCCCAGAAACGTCAAGGCAGACGCCTTGTCACGTATTCAGTCACGTAGAAGGCCCAGAAGAACCGGAAAGTATCATCCCACCAAAGATGATTGTCAGTCCCATTGAATGGAATTCCCCTTCAGTGGCCTCCAACACAGCTCCCAACAATCCGCCGGGCTGTCCTCCAGGATGCCAGTACGTACCACGGACACAACGCACCCCAATGATTCACTCTGCTCACTCCTCCCGAGGCACTGGCCATCCAGGGGCCAACAACACCCCCTCGCTGCTACGAGATCGTTTCTGGTGGCCCAATATGGCAAGGGACGTGAGAAGGTTCGTGCAAGGATGTCCAGACTGTGCCATGTCCAAAAGCCCGCGCCATTTACCATCTGGCAAACTCCTTCCTCTGCCAGTGCCAAATCGCCCCTGGTCACACCTAGGAGTAGACTTTGTCACTGACCTGCCCCCCTCTGAAGGTAACACATGCATCCTGGTGATTGTTGACCGTTTTTCAAAATCATGTCGCCTTCTGCCCCTCAGAGGTCTCCCCACTGCACTGGAAACTGCTGAGCTTCTGTTCAATCAAGTCTTCCGATATTATGGAATTCCTGAAGACATCGTCTCCGACCGGGGACCTCAGTTTCTCCAAAGTATGGAATGCCTTCCAACTCTTAGGTGTGACTGGGACATCAGACTGCGCCTGCCCTGTAAAAAGCTCAGTCCCAGATTTGTTGGCCCTTTCACCATCCTGGAACAAGTAAACTCGGTCACTTACAAACTCCAACTCCCCTCACCGTACATAATTCATCCCACATTCCACGTATCACTGCTGAAACCTCACCATGAACCTGTCTCTCTCCCCACAGAGCCTGGACAGACGGAGGAACCCCCTCTTCCCTTGATCCTGGATGAAGGATCAGTCTACAAGGTGAAGGAAATTCTGCAATCCCGGCGCCGTTACATTTTGCAGCTGACTTAATGCTAATCACTTATTAATTCTATTATTGTTTGTGATTTCTTGGTTCAGATGAGGTCTCACAGGTTCGCGCTGGCGCTCTGAAGATGTAGCCTTTGTTGTCCAGAGTGCGGCGGAAGAAGTTTGAGTTCAGAGGTTCAGGATCCTCGTCCCATGATTCAGCAGCTCTGAAACACACACACAAACATATGACGATTAAGCTAATTGTAATCGAGTGAACATTAGCCGAGTCAGAAGCTCCGTCACTCACGTGTTGGGGTAAACGCGCGTGACGCCTCCATTGGTGGATGCGAACAGCGCCAGGAAGCCGTACCTGCAGAGATCAGACTGTCCAATCAATATCTGAATCCAGTTAATACAGTAAATCAACAGACTGTGACGGGTCTGATCTTACGTGTTGAGATCCTTGTTCTGCCAAACGCGTGTGGCGAGATTCCAGAGGATCCCAGAATCCAAGATCAGGTTATGAATGAGACCCTGATCACCTGTAAGCACATTACAAAACATTCAGTCAGACGCTTCTCACAGTTCACTGAAAGATTCATGATTGGAGAGAAACATTTCCCTAAATTCATCCGTGTGTGGTATCTTCACATTTCACATAATGAGAATGTAAAATTATTAAATTATTCAAATTTAATTTTAAGCTCATGATGATTTATTCGTTCATTATGACTGCTGTAATTAGTTTTTGCCAATATAATACTGTCATTATGGGTGATATAAAAAAAAAAATCTAAAAATCAGCTCTGTAATATCTATGTAACGGATCGGCCAGGCTCCGCCACCACCCAATCACAGCGATCCCTCTCACCTGAGTTCTGAGCACCTGCACCTGTCACCAATCTAGCACCTCATCAACCAGCCTGCATAAAAGCACACACCTCAGACCCCCTCACTGTCCGGTCTCGTATACACGTAGAGGACTCAATGACTTTGGTATTGCTTCCCTTTGAATACTTCCCGCATTACTTACATCCTGTGTTCCTCCTAGTGTCTCCTCGTCTCCAAGTGTCTCCTGTTTCTCCTAGTTCCCGGATCGCTGAGGTGTGTGCTCCTCCTGTGTACATTCCAGCCCCTATCAAGCCAAAGACTCGGATTACTCCACGCTCCATATCCTTTGCCCTCTCCTACGAAATCTTCCCTCACCATCACATCCTCCGGACCCAACACCCGTACTCACTGTGACCAAATAAACCATTTTATATATACTAACCTGTTGTGTCAGACCTCTTCCGTTACAGAAGTTAACCAACTAGCATTATACATACCCTTTTGGTTTCTGTACCCAATATTTAAAAAATTTACAAATGCAATAAAAATATCGGTATCGGTACTCGGTATCGGCAAGTACCAAAAATAAAAGTATCGGTATCGGGCGAGTACTGGAAAAAGTGGTATCGGTGCATCCCTAGTTCAAAGGTTTGGGGCGTAAGACACTAATATCTTTATTCAGCAAAATGTTTCTATTTTGAAAGTTTTCAAAATAATGTTAGCTATTTTCAACATTGATAATAAGAGATGTTTCTTGAGCACCAAATCAGCATATTAGAATGATTTCTGAAGGATCATGTGACACTGAAGACTGGAGTAATTATCCTGAAAATTCAGCTTTGCCATCACAGGAATACATTACATTTTAAAATATATTAAAACAGAAATGTAACAAAAACATTACAATTTTATTGTATTTTTAATCTAAATAAATGCAGCATTGGTGAACATTAAAACTTGATTAAAATTTCTTACCAACCCTAAACTTTTGAATGGTTGAATACTCCCAAAATGATATTTCACAGGAAACTAAATATTGAGGTAGCACATTGTTCCAGCTGGCTCTACTCCGACTGATCAAAGGAGGAAGAGATTATGTGTATTTGAGGCAAAATATTTCTGGAATATCAAAACAGGTCTTTTGCATTCAGTGATTTTGAGTTCCACATCAAGCAACGACATCGCGGTCAAATGATGAGATGAACAAATCCACTAATGAGCCGTCCCCATTGGTCTGCTGGTCTCTTTTTCATAAGGTAAAATTAATTTCACACGGGAACTGAGGAAACTTTAACACACCTAAGGGGCATTCGGTGTAACAAGCTTTAAACTGATATTTAATTTGATTCTTAAAGCCTCTGATGACTGCATACTTTCTTATTCATCAAATGTAGGCGGGGTGGGGTGAAGCCATGCTCTTTTCATTTTTATCTTCTGTCTCACTCCTTCGCTTTTAATGAACATTACTCCCCTAGACCGTGCGTGACTCTCTCTCTCTCTCTCTCACTCTCTGAATTCATCACAGTATGTTAAAAGCACATTTTAGTTCATATTCATGGTGTCTCAAAATAGCACAATCTTAAGAAGTACTAAAGAATAATTCTTTGTTCTAGTTCTAGTTCTTTTATTAATAAAGCACATTTAAAACAGTCACAAGACTGACCAAAGTGATGTACAACATAATGATCAAAGATAAAAACACATTCAAAACAAACATCAATATGCAAAAGCTAAAGAAAAAAAAGTGAGTTTTGAACATTTATTTAAAATAATATTTTTTAGCATATTAAGTACAAAATGAATGTGTGAAAACAGAGCACTTTAAGTACATTATGGAAGTGTACTGAAATAAAGTGTATTTTAGTGCACTTTTTTTTTTGCCTGGGCCACCAGGCTATACAACCCCCATAATGTGTAAGGATGCAAGGTTGACATTTTACGAACACAGGGATGAAACTCCAACAAAAGTCTGAAAATGACTAAAACAGATGGAGATCTGTGAATGTAAAGAGGGTGTGGTCAATATTGAAACTTTTAATGGATGACTTTTTACAAGCACATTGGTACTTCGTGAATGTTTGATTTCACTTCCACATGGATCCGTAAGGGAAATCACTTGAGATGGAAGCAGATGGCAAGCTTTTTCTCTCATGCAAACATCAGCACATCCTCCGAGACGGCTGGCTACGTGAGTACCCATATAGATTTATGGCCAAATGCACCAGTTGCAAACGGAATATTGCGCCTCCAGGCATTTCAGATCCAGAATCACTGATAAAGTCAGTTAGGAACGTGTTTAACTGGTAATTTGGCCTCTTGAGACTTACACATAAGAGGGCTGAGCTCTCTTCCAGTGATTTCAATGGAACATGAAGTCTGTACATATTCCTGGTCTAGATCAGGGGTGCACACAAACACGAATGGCCTCTCAGCAATGACCTGTGACTCAGCCGTACGTGTGCGATGCATCAGACTGCTCAGAGACAGGGCAAATGAAGAACTAGGACATGAGCATTGGTCAGCATCATTCACTTGTGTGTGTCACATAGGGTCTTCATCACTCATTAACATCAATCCAACTGTCTCCAAGGGCTATGACATCAGATCATCCTCTTTGCAGGCCCTCTGGAGGATAAGTTATTGCTCAGATGTTGCGCTCTGGGAACAGAGAGTTCTGCAAATTTTGCATGTCTCTCTTAGTTAACACACCTGATTCAGATCATCAGCTCGTTAGAAGTGAGCTACTGCGTGAACTGTGTTCCGATAGACATGTTCCCTATACAGTGTTCATTGCTCCCTACTCCCAGGGGAAATCCATTGAAGTTTACTTCACTTAGGAACATTCATTCACAGATTTGCACACACATAAAAACACACACTTTCTGAAGAAGGAGATGGTTTAAGAGTGTTTAAATTTGCATAAAACACTCCATCATGCAGGGTTGGCTGCTTGCAGAATGACAGACACCACCTTAAAATGGGTAACAAAATGTAATTAACAAGCTAAAACAGTTCAGTCAAAGTGAAGCCTGGTGTTTTCTTACTGACCTCTACCCTCACAGTTTATAATGTATGTTTCAATCAAACATACTGGCATTCATATGTTTTATTATTTACACATTTGTCATTTATCACACTGCTCACACAGAAGGGTCTTTCTGTTAGTCAACGTAGCACATTCATATGACCAACTTGAACCCAATGCAAAATCTGAATTTTCTTAAAAGTGTGCTTTGAATGCTTTAAAAATGTGTTCATAGTAGACTTTTATAAAGTAATGCTAAGTTTAAATTAAATAGATTTTATGAAAAAAATATTACTAATGTACTAAATACATTTTCCCAATTGAGGTACTTCAGTACACTTAATATAAATGCACTAACTAGCACTAACACTTAAATTGATTTTAAGTATAGTCAGATATAGTGCACTTTTGTGGTGTGTAAAGGGATTGTAACTACGCCACAACAAATTGAAGTGTTTTGTCAAAAGAGATAGTTTTGTTTGTTTGTATATTACATACCATACCAGTGCTGAACTGTTGTATCTATGTGGTAATAGGGTAATTGTCCTTTCAATCTATGGTTGTTTACATTTACATTAATTATATTTACAGTCATTTTAATCAAATGTATTATTTCTTACATTCAAATAGTTAATTTATTAATGATGGAAAACAACAGCTTCATGAAGTGACTGCACAATGTGTATGTATACTTGTAGGATGTGTTCATCTTTTTTGGTGCAAACATGCAGGTTAAATGTGTACTTGAGATAGTGAATTGGTGGGTTTTTGTTAAATGTGAGCCAAAATCATCACAATTAAAATAACTGGGATTGGGAAACACTGATGTAGCATGTGTTTTGATATCATGCATCAATTTGGCCTATCCTAAAATTCCTTGGAGAACAAAATGACAATTGTTCAAATGCAATAAAGAAAGAGAAATGCAAATCATTGTGGGATAAGCTTGGATAATCTGATCTTTTAATTTGATGAAAAATGCCTGAGCTCATATTGAAAGTTCTCATTGCAGACTTCAGATGTCGTTTTTTTTTTTTTTTTCCTTGAGTCTGGGTAAACTTTAGAGGTCAACCAATTGATCGTTAATTGGCAGCAATAGTTGATTGCTGGAACTATCGGCTATCAGCAAAAATCCATGTCGAACGTTTTCCGGGTTGCGTCCGGATTGGTTGATTAATCGGTATTGGCCAGTGTGGTCCAACCT